AGCTCCTCACCCCTGCCTCCCCAAGAATTCAAGGCAGGTGTGAAGGTACAGAGTTTAGGTCTGATATGGAAAAAAATAGTTTTCATTCTATTCACCTGGTGGTGAGTTCTTTGAGAAGGATTCTGAAGTTGCATCCAGGCTCAGTGGGGAAAGCAGGCTGTGATCACTGGCTTCCTAGGATACCAGAGCAGAAGGGGTGACAGTCATAGCACTTGTTACCTTTGCATCTGCTTAGCTTCTTGCTCTTGATTTCTTTCTGCATTTATTATGCCATAAATTGAAATGATATTGGAAAATATTTTAGCTAAAATTCTAGGCGCATAGTCTAAATTTTATGCTCATTAGGCCTTGCCAGCAGAAATACTCTTATACTGTTTAAAAAGCAAGATTATTAGGGGAAGATGCTTTTTGTGATCCCTTTAACACTGAAAATGCTTATTTAACAAAATGTTATACCTACATCTATACATACAAGGCTCACTACTTTAAAACTCTGTTTTTAATTATGGTGAGTTCTAAAATTTTTGTAACATAATTAATTGAAGAAGTAATACAGGCCATGGCAAAAATTTTAGAGTATAAGAAAGCATTCCATGAAAAATATTGTAACATCTCATCACTGATAATCAGTTCCAAATGCTTTGTCCCAAGAAGCAATTACTATTAAAAATTCCCTTTCACATCTTTCTAGAAACTTTACTATGTATAAACAAAAGTGTGTATTTATACACATGGGAAGATACTTTACATATTATTCTGCATCTTCCTTTATTTCCACATAAAATTATATCTAGGAGAAAATTTCATATCAGCACAAAGAAATCCTTCTCTGTCTCATTTTTTAGCATATCTATATATTTTCATTTCAAAGATGTTTCTTAATTTATGTAACAAATCATCTAAAGAGGATGGTTTCTAGATGTTTGCAATTTATCTGTACTATTTTGCAAACAATATTGTTTTTAAAATTCTCCAATACAGAAATTCCTCCCAAGTATGTTTTTGCCCACAAGCGCACATATATGTGTAAGATGATTTTCTAGAGATGGAGTTGCCAGCTCAAAAGGTATCTGCATTTAAAATTTTTAATCAGGCCGGGCGCGGTGGTTCACGCTTGTAATCCAAGCACTTTGGGAGGCCAAGGCAGGCGGATCATGAGGTCAGGAGATTGAGACCATCCTGGCTAACACAGTGAAACCCTGTCTCCACTAAACATAAAAAATTAGCCGGGCGTGGTGGCGGGTGCCTGTAGTCCCAGTTACTTGGGAGGCTGAGGCAGGAGAATGGCGTGAACCCGGGAGGCAGAGATTGCAGTGAGCCGAGATGCGCCACTGTACTCCAGCCTGGGTGACAGACCAAGACTCTGTCTCAAAAAATAATAATTAAAATAAAATAAAATAAAAATTTTAATCATTATATTGCAGCGAGCTGTACTCCAAGAAGCTTGTGTGGTTGGCTAGCATTTGAAAAACTGTGCCAAGATAGAAAAAAAAAAAAAGACAAAAACAAAACAAATGATTATGAGTTGAATTAATATAACATATTGAAAGTATAAAGGAAACTGATTTACATAGACTCTAGCAACAATAAGTAGTTCAGTTTATCAAACATGTATGGAGTGCCTATAGTGCCTATTGTGTACACCTGAGGCAGGTGTACACAGGTGAGTGTGCTGCATGCCTAGCTCTCTGTCTTCACGGTCTCCACCGTCTACTAGTGCAGACAGAGTGTGGGTAAAAACGGGTGTTACAGGAGCACAGGTGAGAAGCTTTCAGTTAGGTGTGGTGTTGACAAAGAGGAACTCATGTTTGTATACTTTTTGGTACCTCAAACTTCAAACATCTTGCAACTTTAGCCTATAGCATTTATGTACAATTCAGAACAAAGTGATATACCCACTGTTTCCTGGAAGAAAGAGTGGAAAGAAAAATCAGTTCACACAGGATGTGTATATCTATGTGAGAAAGAGATGACCTGAAATGGGATTGAGGAGTGTGTGATGATGAGTCAAGCGATGAAGCTTAGAGAAAGACAGTTTTGCAAACTGGCCAACAGGTAATAACGTTTGTCCCTAACCCCTTCACTAATCTTTGGAGGGAGGATGGGCTTTGGTAGTGTTTGGTGTTTTAAACCAGTGATTTCCAAACCTAGAATTACTTCTGAGTCATTTGGAAACTTTGAAATGTGATTCCTGGATTCCTGGGCACTAATAAAGGATTTTGATTCAGGAAGTTAGAGAAGGAGCCCAGGAATCTGTATCTTCCTGTTCAGGTGTATGAATTTATTTGGGTGATCCCGATGCATGGCCAGGATTTAGAACCTCTACAGGAGAGGGCTCCACAGCCTGGAGTTGAAAGGGAAGAAAGACTATCAGCTGTTAATGGTGTAAGAAACCCATGTTTAGGCCAAGTGTTTGTAGTGTACAAAATGTGTGTTTGAATCTCAGGGAGATTGATTCTCCCGTTTTTGAAAAAGTGTATACCCTGGAAACTGTTATTAGAGAAAGGATGGTAAACAAGGCAGGTCCCCGATGCCTTTTAATCTGTAGTCTAATTTTTGCTCTATTCAGTGATCCTGGTGAGTGCTTCTCAATCACACTGTACCTAATGCCTGGGATCCGGCCACAGATACAATTCACGTTTCCAAGATGGGCCGTGAGCATTGTTGTCTTTTTAAAGGTCAAGAGTTGTGAGATTGAGAATCCTATCTAGATTTGTATGAGGTTGAGGAAAGAACAGTAGCTTTTCCCCAGCTTTTCTCCTCTCCCAACTCAGCTCCCTTTCTCCCGATTTCTGGTGCAGGGAAAGGTACAATCTTGTCAAACACTTTTAAGATGGAGAGGGAGGGTGTTGTTCATCCTGCTAAGTGGCAAACGCTAAGAGCAGCAGAACACTGATCTTCAGTGACTGGCAGAGGTATATTCCTGGGTGGATGACAGCCCTCCCTTTCCCAACTGATGGCTGCTGCGAGGAACTCTCTACCCAATCCAGGAACCCAAGAGCAGAGGAAAGCGTTTCTCTTCCTAGGGATGGCAGTTTCATTCTGTGGCACATTAGTTCATTGTTTTATTATAAAATTCAGTAATATGCTAGTAAATGTTTGACAGCCAGCTCTGGAAAATACAAAATCCCTGATTCATCACATTTTTCTAGTTTCACGGTGTACTCTCCTGTGTCTAATTTCGAGCTGAAAGCAGTTTAACAAACAACCATCTTGCCAAATTTCCCAAAACTGAACAATTGGCTCTCCTGAGCCTGTGTGGGCAGACTCCAGCCCACCACTAGTTATGTCTTTTTGTCCCCCCCACCCCCACATTCTAATCATTCTTCATTTTTAATAGTTTATGTAAACATATAGTTGGTACTTAACTGTATCTTAAATATATCTCAATGAAACCATAAAACAAAAACAAAAATCAAGGACTGGAGCTAAAGTTTTGTTCCTTTTGCTATGACCAGTGATTTCCATCTCTGTCCTGTTTGTGTTTCATGTAGAGGAACAACTTATCGTGTTTCTAGCTAATCTGTACTTTTAATGCACTCCGTTGACATGAACATTACAATTAAGAATAGTGTACAGTATTTCTGTTCATCAAGATCCTATTATAAACCTTATGCCAATAGAGTTACAGTTTTCCCTAAATTGGAAAAAGAAAACATTTGCTTTAATATTTACTTTTGTTCAAATATTGTTTAGATAAATGGCCTAGGTATCTATTATTTATGATTTACTTATGACTCACAAGTTGCTCATTAGATGGCTTTTTGAAGTAAAGTTTGACTTATGATGTGCAAGTGTTTATAGATTTTTAAAGATACAACAGATATATATTTAAATTAAGTCTACCAGCCGGGCGCGGTGACTCACGCCTGTAATCCCAACACTTTGGGAGGCCAAGGCAGGCGGATCACGAGATCAGGAGATCAGATCAAGGCCAATCTGGCTAACACGGTGAAACCCCGTCTCTACTAAAAACAAGCACAAAAAATTAGCCGGGTGTAGGTGGTGCATGCCTGTAGTCCCAGGTACTCCGGAGGCTGAGGCAGGAGAATGGTGTAAAACCAGGGAGGTGGAGCTTGCAGTGAGCCCAGATTGCACCACTGCACTCCAGCCTGGGAGACAGAGCCAGACACTGTATCAAAAAATAATAATAATAATTAAGTCTACCAAACAGTATAGGAGAGGGGATAGTTGTTTTCTGAGTGTTTATTATCAAAATCCACATGGGAACAAGTTTGCATAGAGAAGCAAAGATATTTACAAATATTCAAAAATGAGCTGACCACTTCTAACATTAGCCCCTACTCAACCCCCTCCACTTGACATCTTATCTACTTAAATACAGAACAAAATGCAATGCAAACGAATTTCAGAGTTAAATTGGAAATCCTTCAATATGTGAAATTTCACTGATGGCAGTGGTGTTGGTGAAAGGCTCAAATCTTGTGCAAAGCCATAAACAAATGATAATCTGAGTTAGCTGAGTCAAGAATTTAAGGAGAAAAGAAATCTAAGGATAGATTCTTCAAAATTGAATTATTTTAATATCAATAATCTTGATGCAACCAACCAGAAACAAAAACCAGAAACAAGTGCAGTATAGTCATTGTTGAATGACTAGAAGTCAGTGACTTTTAGAATCATAGTGACTTCTAGAATTGTTGAATTCAACAATTCTAGAAGTCAGCATAGATGTAATTATAATTTAAATTTCTGACATATAACATAATTTCTAATTTGAATTTATTATTGGTTAAAGTCTCATTCAAACTTTTCACCCTCACTTTTTATGATTTTTTTTCTCCTTAAAGAGGGTTATTTCAAGTTAGCCTTTCCTGGGAACAGTTATCCTTAAATGACCACAGTGACCTACTGATGAATTCTGTTTGCATCCAGAATTGCACGGTCTCTATGTTTTTAGTAATAAGTACAACAGGAATAATTACTGAGAATGTAACATTGTGTTCAGAATTGGTGGGTTCTTGGTCTCACTGACTTACAGAATGAAGCAGGGGACCCTCGCCGTGTTACAGTTCTTAAAGATGGTGTGTCCGCAGTTTGTTCCTTCAGACGTTCACATGTGTCTGGAGCTTTTTCCTTCTGGTGGCTTCGTGGTATCGTTGGCTTCAGGAGTGAAGCTGCAAACCTTCCCGGTGAGTGTTACAGCTCACAAAGGCAACCTGGGCCCCACGGGTGAGAAGCAGCAAGATTTATTGCAGAGTGAAAGAACAAAGCTGCCACGATGTGGAAGGGGACCCGAGCGGGTTACCACTGCTGACTAGGGCAGCCTGCGTTTTTTCCCTTATCTGACCCCACCCACATACTGCTGATTGGTCCATTTTACAGAGAGCTGATTGGTCTATTTTACAGAGAGCTGATTGGTCCATTTTGGCAGAGTACTGATTGGTGCTTTTACAATTCTTGAGCTAGACACAGAGTGCTAGACAGAAAAGTTCTCCAAGTCCACTAAGTTAGCTATATACAGAGTACCAAATGGTGTATTTACAAACCTTGAGCTAGATGTAGAGTACCGATTGGTGTATTTACAAACTTTGAGCTAGACACAGAGTGCTGATTGGTGCATTTACAATCTTTTAGCTAGACACAGAGTGCTAGACAGAAAAGTTCTCCAAGTCTGTACTAGGTTAGCTAGATACAGAGTATTGATTGGTGTATTTACAAACCTTGAGCTAGATACAGAGTACCGATTGGTGTATTTACAAACCTTAAGCTGGACACAGAGTGCTGATTGGTGCGTTTACAATCATTTAGCTAGACACAGAGTGCTAGACAGAAAAGTTCTCCAAGTCCTCACTAGGTTAGCTAGATACAGAGTACTGATTGGTGTATTTACAAACCTTGAGCTAGGCACAGAGTGCTGATTGGCGTATTTACGATCCCTTAGCTAGACATAAAAGTTCCCCAAGTCCCCACCAGACTCAGGAACCAAACTGGCTTCACCTAGTGGATCCCAGCGCCAGGGCCACAGGCGGAGCTGCCTGCCAGTCCCGCACCCTGCCTGCACTCCTCAGCCCTTGGGCGGTGGATAAGACCGGGCATCACGGAGCAGGGGATGGCGCCCCTTGGGGAGGCTTGGGCCCCCTGGGAGCCCACAGCGGAGCGGGGGGCTTGGGCATGGTGGGCTGCAGGTCCTGAGCCCTGCCCTGCAGGGAGGCATCTGAGGCCCAGCGAGAATTTGAGTGCAGCCGGCAGTGCTGGGGGACCCGGCGCAACCTCCACAGCTGCTGGCCCGGGTGCTAAGCCCCTCACTGCCCTGGGCTGGCGGCGCCTGCTGGCTGCTCCCAGTGTGGGGGTTCGCTGAGCCCATGCCTGCACCCACTGGAACTCACACCGGCCCGCGAGTGCTGCCTGCAGCCCCGGTTCCCGCCTGCGCCTCTCCCTCAACACCTCCCGGCAAGCAGAGGGAGCCGGCTCTGGCCTCTGCCAGCCTAGAGAGGGGCTCCCACAGTGCAGTGGCAGGCTGAAGGGCTCCTCAAGTGCCGCCGGAGTGGATACCTAGGCCTAGGAGGCCCCGAGAGTGAGGGCTGCTTGTACATTGTCACCTCTCACCATGTGACATTTCACTGTGACTATGCACTCTTCTAAGTACTTTACAGGTGTCATCTCTTTTATTGCTTACAACCACCCTGTGACAAAGAAACTTCTGTCATCATTATTTTAGATAAAAAAGTACCTGAAGCAGGAGGATGTTAAGGACTTTTGCCATTAAAACTAATGGCAAAACCGCAATTACTTTTGCACCAGCCTAATACCCTGCTAGAGAGAGCAGGATGTGGACACTGGGAATCTGATGGTGAAGTCTGCTGCCCATGTTCCCATTAATATAATAGGGCCTAAGAAAACCAAAACTCTCAACTCCTCAAAGTCAGAGTGAAATGACTCCAAGTCATATTCTTTTCTCCTTTAAAACATAAAATAAATACTAGATACACAGTAGTAAGCAAACATCTTCAACAGGAAATTCTGTCCTTAGTAACCGGTTTATTCAGATACCAATCAGAGTAAAAGACTATGAGAAACAGCTGCACAGACTGCTTGCCTCATGCACGGAAAATAGTACAGTATTTGGACAATAAATAAGAGCTAACCATACACGCCTTACCTGTTCTGGTAGTTACTGAAGTAGAATTAATTGAAGGCTAGCGAATTATACTGTTAACAATAATCATGGTTCCGCTGGCCTCTTTTAGTCAGATAGAGAAAAAAGCATATTGTAACTCTTGAAGTTACTTATTATTACCAAAAAGTCCCAATTTAATAGGATCAAAAAATGTGTTCTTTATACAGAAAAAAAATCCAGCAATGAAAGTTGAAATTCGAATAATTTTATATGATAGAGGTATATCCTTTTCCTTAGATTAGTGCTTTTTCAGTTTTTTTTATAACTACCTAGGGAAATGAAAGTAAGATAATTATAAATGCCTTTGTATCACTATAAAATTCATTCTTTTTTTTTGCATTATCTCAGCAATATTTTTCTGTTTTTTTTTAATTAAATAATATTGGTGCATCGTGTCATTCCTGTCATATATAAGCTGCCAGTTTGAAAAGCAAAGCTCTGTGCTTTAATATTATGCAATGCAAGAAATAACATTTTCTAAACAAATTGGTTTATTTTTTATTGATAATCTGTGGAATGGAACAGGGAGGGATATTACAGCTTGTTTTTCTTTTTTCTTTTTTAATTATACTTTAAGTTCTAGGGTACCATGTGCACAACGTGCAGGTTTGTTACATATGTATACATGTGCCATGTTGGTGTGCTGCACCCATTAACTCGTCATATACATTAGGTATATCTCCTAATGCTATCCCTTCCCCTTCCCCTCACCCCAGGACAGGCCCCGGCGTGTGATGTTCCCCTTCCTGTGTCCAAGTGTTCTCATTGTTCAATTCCGACCAATGAGTGAGAACATGCGGTGTTTGGTTTTCTGTCCTTATGATAGTTTCACAGCTTCTTTTTCTTATTCAAGAAAATATCAATGGGCATTTTGGAACATCAGCAGTAGTTGAAGCTACATCTCTGGCCAGCAAAATTAAAGTAATTAGAGAGTGTCAGGTACTAATCACTGATGAGACCTGTACACTTTCTGAAGCTCAGAGCTGGGAAATTAAAGGGCTAAGAAGGATACAATATATTTTTCTTTGAAGACTACTGGTCTTCCTTTTACTATGTAGTTTGAACCATGTCACATGTCCTACTTCCCTTTTGGCCTTGATAGCCAAGAAGTTCAAAGGTAAGATTTTGACTCAAATTTAGGGTCTTGCATTAAGCCTGTTTTTCCAAGTCTCACCTCTCCTCTTCCCTTTCATTCTCATCTTTATGACTTGATTTCCTCTTCTATAGTCTTCTGTTCAAAGTTTTAGTATTATTTTTGTTTTCATGCACTGTGGCTGACTGCCACAATTACTGCTTCAGACCATCACTAAGACAGTTACTACTGTTAGTACTTGAGACCATCATTAAGACCGTTACTATGTTACTACTTGAGACTGTCATTATGAGACTGAATGAAGGGGAACAAAGGTAGAAGTGAAAACTCAAGACAGAAGAAAACTGTTTTAAAGGATGGGGCCAGGGGATGAAGAGGGCTCCCTGCTTCTAGTGAGCAAAGGCAGCCGCCTCGAGCTTCTTCAGCCCTTCTTTTTTATTGGATAGAACGAGCAGGGAGGAGGAGGTAACGATTGGTCAGCTGCTTAATTGATCACAAGTTCCCATTATTGCTAACAGGTTTGAGATGTGCCTAATCACAAGAAACACTTGTCCCTTGGTCGTGACTACCCTCAGCATTCCTTCTGGGCAACGGATGCAGTTTGTCAGTTTGCCAACATCCTGCTTTCATGAGTACAGTTTGCTGTTTACTCATATAGCCTCCAGTGGTATACTGAGTTGATCACGACCCTCACTCTTTTGGCCTTCAACAAGGCACGATATTGTGCCTTGTTTTAGACATTATTACTGCACAAGGTCTGGAGTCAGACAGGTTGGGTCCAGCTCTTGATTCTGCAACCCACTGTGTGTTCTTGGACCCACAACTGAATCCATCTATCCTGCATTTTGCTGTCTGTTGAATGGGGCAGTAATGGTACCTGCCTCTTTGGTTATTGGGAGGATTAAGTGAGTTAATATTGTATTTATTAGGTGATTTAAATGGGAGATCTGGCACATGGTAAGTGCTTAATAAGTGTTAACTATCGAAGAGATAAATGGGCAGACATGCTCACAGGGAAATATAGATAGGCAAATCTAAGACAAAATGCTTTGTAGAAATAATGATAGGTTTAACTATCTTTACTTAAAAAAATTAATTGATGACCACCCTAAAAGCAAACTGTGGCCCTGATGCTGACCAATTGTAATGACAAATAGAGAACTCTCAAAAATGTAGAATTTGCCATCAATGAAGGTGTTCAATAAACTCTTGGAAACTAGATCTGAAATGTTTGGGCTTTCCTATATAAAGAAATCAGATGGACATATGTTTTATGACTTTAGTTTCAATTAGCTCCTCTCTGAAAATATCTCTTACAGGTCTGGGCCTATGAGTTCTACCACCTAATACCTAATCAAGAGATCCAGTACCAAAAACATCTGAATCCCATTTCCTACTTGTTCCTCTTACCCATTTCTTTTTTACTTTCCTGGCACTAAGAATACTTCTGTGTTGTCTCCTTGAAGGAGTAAAGGAGAGAGAAAGAGAGACCTGAAATGTATTGATTCCCTCTATGTGAACCAGATCCTGTTCTAGAGGCTCCGCCTGAATCCTCATGTCGGTTATTAGTATCTCCACTATAGTATCTCCACTGTAACAGGAGGATATTATTATCTCCACTTACATCGCAGGTTCAGGAGTGTTAAATGAATCTCCCGACACCCTATATTTACTAAGTGGCAGAGTTGGATTCAAACTTAGCTCTATTTGACACTAAAGTCAATTCTCTTTCTCTTAATATCTCTAATCACTCTACTACCAAGTCAATGGACAGAGATTGCTAGAATGCATTAATTTGGTCTTGCATAATTAGGAATCTTTAGCAAAGGATGTAGGGTGTGGATTATAATTCCCTGTTGTAAATTTCTTGAGAGGATTTTCTGGGCAGTTTAACATTATTCATTTCATTGTCAAGATTGTAGTCTCATGTCGCTAGCCTTCTAACAATCTCTCATCATTTACTATTTATGGCCCCAGACCTTCTTGATTACTCACAGCTCAGCTCATTTCCTAAACACTATCTTCTATGAAGCCATTTTTATTAAGGTGCAGGCTATACTTTTGTAATCAAAAG